GCGGGGCCGGCGGATGCGGGTTTCGGGGCGGTTGGGGGGATGATCAGGGAAGAGAGGGAGACGGCGGGCTGCAGCTCGGCGATGGGCGTGCTCTTGACAGTCAGCTTGATCACGCCAACCCTTGATTGACAATGGGGAGGGTGGCCGGAGGCGCGGCAGTGGTGTTAGAAGGAGGGATGGCAGGATGCGAGAGCCTTACTAAGAGGCTAAGAGATCTAGTAGAGAGAAGCTGCGGACTTTGGTGCCTCTGTGAGTGCTCATCCGGGGTTCAGAGCAGCAACTTTGGGTCGCCTGTGGGCAGGGGTTGTAGTGGCGTCAAGGATGCGGATCTTCACAGGCACCTTTTTGATGATCCGCATTCTTGATCCACGAGCCACCCAATCGCTGGTGCATCTGCACGGGAAATCCCATCGCATCCGCCTGCACACTGGCGTTTTGCGTGCGCAACCTCACTTACATATCAACCCCACTGCTCTGCACGCCTGCGCAACGGCAGCCCACCTGCGGATGTCAAAGGTGCCCATCTTGGGGGACCCCGCCGCAACCACAACCGTGTGGTTCGACAGCGGGCCATTTGAAATGGCTGCGTCGACAGCTAGCAGGTACGGGCCCGCCTTGGGGAACACCAGGCCGTCGACGGCGAACGCCGCGCCCGCTGGCGCGGCTGGTTTGGGGGGGAGGGGGGGAGCGCCGCCGTCAGGGGCTGGTCAGGCGAGCAGCCGGCACAACGCAGCTGGGGCCGAGGTGGGCGCAGCGGCGGTGCGCCGGGGCGGCCGCCGAGCACTTTCGACGGCACGCCGCAGGCAGGACGGACAGGGTGGCCGGGGCACTGGCTGCGGCGGCTGCAGCCGGGGCACCCCTTGGCTGTCTGTGGGGGCGGCCACGCCAGAGGGGTTTTTTGGTGTGTGGCTGGTACAACAACGCAGCGGTGTGCGTGATCTGAGATGTTTGACCTGCAGGGGCCACGTGATCTGGCGGCGCCGCGCACCTGTGGATGTGTCGTGGACGTGGAAGAAGGTGTCAAGATCACCGCCGAGGACCACTAAATGCAGCAGGCGCTCATGTGAGACCTGGGGTGATGGAATGCGCGTGTGTGTGTGTGATTGTGTGTGCGTGATGGTATGCGTGTGTGTGTGTGTGTGTGCATGTGCGTGAATGTGTGTGTGCATGTGTGTGTGTGTGTGCATGTGTGTTGTGTTACATGAATGCATGCGCACATGTGTGCGTGTGCAGCTGCGTGCGCGCCGCATGCACGAGGGTGCAAACATGTACATGTTGCGCACACCGGCACGCAAGAGCATGCTTGCGTGCATGCAGCAGTCTGGGGGTGTTGACGCGGGGATGTCAGCCGTGCTGACCAAGCGATTGGGCGGCGCAACGCGCAAGCGCTGGCACCCAAGCAGTGCATGGGACGTTGCCGCCCCGTGACGATGCACGAGGAGGGTCATGCAGGCTGTTGTGTGGCATGCGCTGCTGTGTAGTACGGGCATGCATGCGCGGCGCGCCCTGCAGGGGAGGCACTGCGAGCGCGCGCACCCCTTGCCCCGTCCGCTGCAGAAGCAAACGTGTTGCACGCAGTACCGGCGCGGAGGCCCGGCACAGCCACACCTTGAAGTCTGCGCGCTTCACTGGTTTCCTTGCAGGAAGCAGGAAGAAGCCCGCTGATATGTTGGCCGCCCGCCCCGCAACAATCGGGCTGCGACGCGTGGACAGCGCGAGTGCAGCTGGCCCGCCCGCCGCGCCTGCCGCCGCAGCTAGGCAGGGCAGGAGGAATCCCATCAGCAAAGCCACTCTTGTATAAGTCATCGCTTTTAAGAGTGCTGCCACGCAGCGAACAGGCTGGCGGGGTGATCTTCCATGGAAAATCAATGGAACTATAAAAAGGGTACACAGCCCGCTGTGCAACGAGAGATGAATTCGATGTCATAAAAAGTGACAAGCAGCACACCGGCCTGCTGCGACTCGATCGACTGGGCTGGAGGGAATGTTTTGTCACTCAACACACACCACCTGGAGAGTGTTGCGGGTGTGGCGCCCCGGAACTTTGGGCTGCTCGGGCAGGGCGAGCTACCAAGTCAGCGGTGGGTCGCAAGGCCTTGGCGCAGGGGCGCATGTGAGGAAAGGCGTCAAAGACACGAACATGCCAAACCTGACCTACGCCGTGACATGACTGCTGGTCTTGCGTCACACCATTCTGGTCAGCTCAAGCAGCGGCCTCCTTCTAATGCGGCAGGCGCCATCTTGTTGCCGAGAGGTGCTGGATCAACGCTCGAGCGCGGACGGCCCCAGTAGCAGTACAAGGGTCAGCGCTGCGACTGTCCCACCCACCGCGCCCCTCGTTTTTGGAGGCCCCCATATCCGCTCCAGGTGCCTCAAGCATCCTGCCCGCGTGTGCCCGAACTTGCAGCACCTCAGCAAGCTTTACAGTGCGTCAGAGCCACAGCACAGGCCGTCTTCGGGAGTGTACACAGAATTGCCACTACCTCTTACTCAGCTCGCCGCGCGCCTGCGCGCGTGGAAATGCAGCGCCTTCCCAAAGTGTGTTGTGAGTTTTTGCGGAACGGGCACCCGCCATCACCAAGCAAACTGCTTACGCAACCAAGTAGCTGCAGCAACGCCTGTGCGATCGATTGGGCGACCGGCACTGAAAACGATACCCAGGAAAGCGGAGGCGCAGTATCCCCATCCAACCACGTGCAGCCAGGGCGGCCCGCGTGCCGCGGGATCGCAGCGCTTGGAGCAGCAGGCGCGCGCGGGCACACACAGGGCCCGCACGCAGACAGATGCCCTGCAAATGCAATAGTCGTTCCCGGCCCCAAGTCGCGTGCGTTGGGTGCAGAGGTACCCCGGGTAATCATAGCCCGGTGCCAGCAAATGCCGCACAGGATGACACACAGTGCTCTAGCAAGGCGCCGCCACCGGGGTGGCGGCAGCGCGGCGCTGCCGGCCGCAGGCTCAAGTGCCCGTGTGCTCGCACGGGGCGCATGCCAGAAAAAGGACGACGTGGCGCTGCTTGGAAGCCGCCATTGGAGATGAGAGCGCGGTGTTGGGTGGAGGCGCACCCACCAGAGGTGGAGTGACAGGCGGGAAGGGGGCAGGGGGACGGGCTCGACAAGCAGCAGGGAACTTTGGCCGACACGTACTGCGCGACCGACGGCAGGGATTGACATCCTTAACCTTTACAGGTCCAACCTCATTGAAGGCGTCTTTGAAAACCGCAACCGTGCAGCTTTTGACTGAACGGCGAGCGGCGCTGGAAGGGGGTGCTGGGTGCCAAAACCAGAGAGATGGGGATAGAAGTAGAACTCAAAGAGACACGATGTTCAGGGCTTATGTGCAGACTTGGGCACGCATGCACGTTTATTGACAAGAGGGATAGCAAGCACACAGCCACCGGCTTCCGCGCACCACACGCAAACGGCGCACTTATTTGCGGCAGCGGCAGCGCGGCGGAAGCCGAGGCCGGGACCGCAGGTCCGGCCGCGTTATTGTGGGAAAATTGGGGCGTGCCTTTGGGCCCGGCAGGAAGCCAGCGAGCAAGCGGGCTGCAGCCGCCTCTTACGAGGCAGCTGCTGCCACGCTTGCTGGCGGTTATGGTTGGAGGGATGCGGCGCCTTGTGATGAATCGATGCACCGTCAGGCGTTATCTGGAGGCGGCCGCTGAGCGCGCGGCGTTCGCAACACATGCGGCACGCGGTGAGTACACACATGTGTGCACGCACATGCCTGACCAGCAGCAACATCGGCCGACGGCCAAGAAAGCCACCGGCAGTGCCAGTAAACACCGCAGCGCGACGCGCCGAGCCGGTTGGCGAGCAGCCGCGCGCCCGCCCCCAGCGGACGAGCTCGCAGTCGCATGCACACGCCGCCCATGCAACTGCGTTGCTGACTGCGTCGCGCACAGGCTGCCAAGCAACGAAGGCGCCAAAAGGGTGTGCCAGCCGCGCACCCTCCGCACACACATGCCCCGTCATGCAAGGCAAGCATTATTTTCTGTCCCGCAAGCCGCAGCCGCTGCGGCTGCGGCGCGGCCGATGGCGCGGCGCGCTCAACAACGGGGCGGGGCGCCCTGGGCGGGGCCCGCGCCGGCCGGGGGCCACGCGCCCCGCGAGTGCCCGCCGTGACCAGAGTTTGAGATCACAGCTCGCCCCTAAACTCGAGCAGCAGCCTGCGGCGGGAGTTGTAGCAGTAGCCCGCCTTGCACTGGTCGTTCGCCGTCGAGCTCTGGTCGGCGTATTTCGAGCAAGAGCCTTGCGTGGAAGTGGGCCCGCCGCCCGGCAGGTTGGGGCACTTTGCCTGGTCGGCAGGGGAGGCGTCGGCGGGCAGGGGCGCCATCCCGACGAAGTTCTTGTCCTTGTTAAAGTTGTCGATCAAGCCTATGCAGCTGGAGATCTTGGCGTCGGGCGGGGGGGCGGTCGGCCCGCAGCAGAAGTCGAGGTTTGCCTTGTAGCCGAGGCCGGTGGCGCCCGTGAAGCAGTCGCCGCTGCAGGTGGAGCTGATCCGCGCGTTGATCAGCGCCGCCATGCACTGCTTGCCGAGCTGCTGCAGGTCGCAGAGGGACTGCCCCTTGACGCACAGCACGCGCAGGGGGTCGGCGAGCGTGCACGTCTGGGCGGTGTCCGTCTTGGTTGTGGCCGCCTGGGTGAAGGACCGGCCCCAGAGCTTGAGGCCGTCGACAAAGTACTGCGTCTGGGCGCCGCGATTCTTCCAGAAGCCATTGGTACGGGTGTAGCAGCCGCCGAAGGGGCCTTTGACCAAGACCTTGACCTCGTCCGACTTGTCGCAGCCTGCGGCGCGGGGGGCGGGGCGCATGGTTTTTGGGGCGGCGCTTATGTGTTTCGTGCGTCTACTTTGAGTGTGCATGCGCGTGTGCGCAAAACAAACGAGGGAACAGCAGGCTGCCATGCGCAAGGAACCTGCAGTTGATATGGGGATTACGGAGGCCCGCCTGCCACAGAGTACAGCAAACGCATGCTTTCGAGCCAGACCAGCTGCACGAATGGAAGCTGGAAGGGCAATCTTGAGGGGAACCGCGCCCAAGGCTCAAGCGCAGGAAGGGGCCGCCCGGCGCTGCCGCATACTCACCGTTGTTGCAGACAGTGACCATGATGGTGTTGACCCCGAGCTTGAGGCCCGTGCAGGAGTAGGTGTACGGCGGGGCGCCCGTTTTGATGAGCGCACAGGTCGCGCCAGTGAAGGTGATCGTGGCGTCGGTGGGGAAGGAGGCGGGCGTGAACGCCAGGGAGACAGTGACTGGCGGGATCGAGCCGGCGCTGGGGGCGGTGATCGTCGTCGGGGACGCCGTTATTGAGACGCTGTAGGAGTCGCAGCCTGTGGGGATGGGGCGCGGCCGAACAGGGGGCGGGGGCAGGCGGCGTCGGTCGCGGCTTGCGAGGGGAGCCTTGGCGGGCCGCCGACAAGTGCGGGGACACGCCGGCCTGCTGATACGGGCTGCACGCTGCGGTTGTTGATGCCATGGGCCGTTCGATCATGCGCGGTGCCCTGCAGGGCGGTCCAGGCACTCACTCAGGGTGACTACAACGGTGAAGGATGTCTTTGCGTCGCAGCCCACTGCAACACATGAAAGGCAGGGTGAGAAGGCGAGCAGAGAGCAGCTGGTGGGGTGGAGGACGGCACAGCCAGGCCACACCAATTCGTGGTTTGTCAGCACCATGCAAGGGGACCCTCGGCCTGTGCACGTATTAGCACACCCCATACAGGACAAACTTGCGCGCTTCGTGCACGTCCGCGCGCACCGTTGTTTGCTGCGGAGACGGTGATGACGTTGGTGCCGGGCTGGATGTTGGTGCAGGTGTAGACGTCTGTGACACCCTTGCGCGTGCACGTGATTGGGTTCGGGCCGAACGTGAGGGCCGCGCCGGCCAGGGAGGGGCTGCGGGTAATGGTGACGTCAGCGGTGCCGGTGCCGCCGGCGCCCGCCACGACGCTCTGAGTGGCAGGAGTGGCCGTGAGCTTGTACCCGTCGGCGCAGTCTGCGGTAAGGGGCAGAGTACGACAGGAGGCGATCAGGAGAGAGGCATGTGCCAACATCTGGGCGCACCGCAGGCGGTTTATCGCAGGTGAGCTAGGCGGCAATCCGGTCGTGATGCAAGGGGACCCCCGAGGGTTGCGGGCGGTGTTCGGTGTCCGAGGTTGGATGGGTTGACGGGTTGCGGGGGTATAGGGTGGTGGTTTGGTTTGACTGAGCAGGCCTGGTCACTCACTGGGGTTGACGGTGACGGTGATAGTGTCCTCAGCACAGCAGTCTGCGGTTGTGGGCAAGAAACGCACGAACAAAGGGTGACGGCGCGCTTGAGTTGCAAGAGGTGACTCGCTCGGGCATGCGCAGGCTCCGAGCGGCCGACAAGTGTTCCTTGGTGCGCCCGGCGCGCAGGCTGGCGCAGACACGTGCGCGAGCACGTGCGCGCCTCGGCACATAATTGCGTGTGATTGCGGCGGGAGGGGAGCTGGCGAGCTCTTGAGGGTGCATGGCACGATTGGGGCCTTGCAAGGTTTGGCTTTGTGGACGCCACACACACACGCGCGAACACACACACACACACACACACACACACACACACACACACACACACACACACACACAC